AGAGCCTGCGCGTGCTGCGGGTGTCGCAGGAGCAGCTGGCGTCGATGCTGGCGCTGTCACGCCAGACGGTGAACCAGACGCTCAAGGAGCTCGAAGCCGCAGGGGTGCTCAAGCGCGCCCGCGGCGCCATCGAGGTGCTGGACCTCGAGGCGCTGCGGCGCGACTCGGTCGACGGTTAAGGGCGCAGTTCGCCCAGCTCGCCGTCGTCCAGCGGCTTGCCGAGGGCCGCGCCGATCAGCATCTTCACGCCGGCGATCGTGTCGCCGTGCTTGTTGTCCCAGTACTGGCCCACGGCGGGCTTCACGCGGATGACGCTCACGCACGGGTCGTCCTTGCCCTCGGGGAACCAGGTGCGGGCCAGCGGCGTCCAGAGCTTGTCGATCAGCGCGCGGTCCTCGGAGACGGTCGCGTGGCCGCTCAGGTGCAGGAAGCCGGAATGCTCCGACGCCTGGAAGTACAGCTCCACATGCGAATCGGCGGCGATCTGCGCGTTCTTGTGGCTGTGCTTGTCGCTCAAGAACCAGATCGTGCCGTCCTCGTCGCAGGCGCGCACGCCCATCGGGCGAACGCCACCGTGCGTGACGAGGAAGCAGGTGTCGGCCTTGTCGACGATCTCCTTGATCTTCTCGGCCGCACCGGCGCCGGCGAGGTCGCGGCGCAGATCGTCGATGTCGCGGTCGGCATGGGTGGGGGTCAGGTCCTGGCTGGGGGGATTCATCAGCGGGGTGCTCATGGCGGGCTCCGTGAAAAGGTCGATGGCTCCACGGTAGGCCCCCCGCCCGGCTGCGCCTGTAGGCCGCGATGCCGCTGTGGGCTCAGCGGATGGCGGTCAGCCAGCGCTGCAGGCGCGGTGCGAGCCGCGTGCCGTCCTCCCCCAGCCAGTCGGCGGCGACCAGGATGTGATGCGCGCGGCCGATCAGCTTCTCGCGCGGCACCGTGCCGATGAAGCGGGAGTCTTCGCTGTTGTCGCGGTTGTCGCCCAGCAGGAAGACCTGCCCGGCCGGCACGATGCGCTCGGCAAAGTCGCGCCGGGCCCTCACGCCAGGCAGGAACTGCACGGTGTGCGGATGGCCGTCGAGCTGCTCGGTCGCGCGCACCGCGTCGACGGGCCAGTCGGGGGCGAGTCGCTCCCCCACCGTGTGACGGTCGGTGTAGGCCAGCGGCTGGCCGTTGAGGACCACCACGCCGTCGCGCATCGCCACGCGGTCGCCCGGCAGGCCGACGATGCGCTTGATGAGCCGCGTGCCACCGGCCGGCGAACTGAGCGTCACGACA